GGATATGTCTTGCTTTGTTTCTCTGATAAACTTTCAGAACCAATTGACCAGTCCTTTTAGAACACATTTCTCCTTAAGTTATTTCCCCTCTTATTCTTCAGAATTAAGTACAGAATAACAGGATGCTAGCTATTTGGATTTGCGTTGGGCATCTAACTCTACTAACTGGTCAGTGTTGTGGCTGCTGTTGGACACATACAAAACATTTCCTTGTTCATTGCTTTCTCTTCCTTGAGAGATTAAACTGTCATGAAAGGTATCAGTTAGTGTTGTGTTCTGCAACAAATAACAGAGAACCAGTTACAGTGATGAGCAAATACAAGTTTCCTCATGTAATAGAAAGTCCAGACAGTGCACAGGTCAGCTACACCATTAGAGACTTAGACCTTCCTATCTTTCTGTGCTACTGTTCTCAGCATGTGGCCCGTGTGGGCTAAAGATGGTTTCTACTTCTCTAGGTGTTGTGTCTGAATGCTAGACCCTACACCAAAAAAAAGAGTCATCAACAGACTTAGGCTTACATCACATTAACCAAAATGATTTTAAATGCCATGCTTTAGGTGTTGAATTCCTTTTCCATCTCTATTTTTCCAAAAGCTATTGTACCAATATCTTAAACACAAATGAACAATGACTAAAGATTGGCTGGATATTGGCCTAGGAGAACAGATGCCTTATGTGTACTTTTTATATATTCCTGTAAACATTGGAACAGATGGAAAATATCTACTGGCCAAATAATCTACTGAGTCCGAGTTGTTATCTTGAGAGCCAGAAGGAAGACATTTTCAGAGAAGCAGGCTGAGCAGTATTGAGTAGTGGATGATTGGAAGCTAATGAGAAAATGGAAATTATTAGTCTATTTCCCTTTTATGTGAAAAGTCTACATCTATAATAATAAAAGTATAATATGCTAACTAGACCGGACATCTGAATGACCTTCTGGACATCATTCTGGATGTCTTTCTGGACAAAGCTGTGTCAGTGGGAGCCAAGGCAGAGTGGTTAGGGGTGATCAGGCAAGCAAGCAGAGGTGGTTAGGGGTGATGAGATAGGCAAGTGAGTGGTTAGGGGCGATCAGGCAGGCAGGCAGGCAGGCAAGCGGTTAGGAGCCAGAGGTCCTGGATTGTGAGAAGGATGTCCGAATGCCCGTTTAGGCCCGATCCCACCATCAGTTAGACATCCCCTGAGGGGTCCTGGACTACAAGAGGGTGCAGGCTGGGCTGAGAGATGCCTTCAGTTCATGCACTGGGCCTCTAGTTTTCAACAATAAAGTTCTAAGGGTATTGAGAGATGTCTTTAAAATACAGTCATATCCCACCAACCCTTGGATATTTTCTTCATCTGTCCTTCTCTATGAGCTTTTTCAGAAGGATTTACACTAAAACATAGATATACAATTGCCACCTCTATTACCTGCTTCAGCTACCAGCTCTGCTTCCATGAGCCAGAACAGAGCATATGTCTTTAACTCCTTACTAATCTCATATTAGCTGAGACTTTACTACTACCTCACCAGAAATGATTGTGTTTTACCACTTTCCTCAACCTTTTCTTCATTGCAAACATGTACATAACTGATTCTGATAAGAACTAGTGTTTGTATTGTGCATTTGCACCCATCCATCATTATATTGGATCCTCTAAACAACCCTCTAGGAAAGGTGCAAGGTAAAGAGAATCAGGATTCAGATGTTAAATAACTTGCCTTAATTTACCTGATAAGATGATAGTGGAACCAGCATTTGAATCCAAGTTTCTTTATGCGAATTCCCACATTATTTCTACCGTCCCATGTTGCTTCTGTTTTCCAACATTTTTTATCCTATACCATTGAAATTTCTTGCACTAATACAATAAATGAGTATCTAATGCAGGTATACATGTCTTTTCCCAAAATTGATACATCTGATTAAACAAACATGCATTGTATATAGTATAGTAAATTACTCAAGAGCAAGGATTATTCTAACAAATCAAAGCTGATTAAAATGGGGGACATGGAAGACTGGTAGGGAAAGTGAACTGTTTTCCAGTGACTTTTCTTCTTTATTTTCTACCCTCACAGCACGGGAAGCATGAATCCTCATGGGTTGAAGAGTTGTTGAAACTACACAGAGCTCGGATCACAGATGTTGAACACATCACTGGACTCAGTTTCTATCAAGAAAGAAAAGAGCCAATTTCAGACATTTTAAAGTTGAAAACACATATGCTAACTTTTAACCAAGAAGACTGACATATATTTTTTATTCCAAAAACAGACCATAAATCTTTTTGAAAGAACCTTCTGTTTTACACAGTCCTCTGTTCACACGATTGCATTGTTTGGAAACTGTCGACCACAGTTAGAACTGGGACTCCTCTGTGATACGACCATCTCAGGGAAACGCGTGGCCTTGGCATAGCAGTAGGAAAGTGTTCCTAAAGAGTCTTGCACATGTTTGAATGTGTAACAATTCAAATTTGGGAATAAAGACAGACCAAACCTAAAACTGCTCTTCTACTTCTCATAAAGGCAGAAGTAGCCTGTGAACCTTGTCTGGATACCAGATATTTGACTCTTATTATCATGAATAAACTTTGATGGAGCTGGCAACAGCAGGCGTATGAATAGGATTGGACTTATCCATGTTACATTAGTATCTTCACAAGAATTTAAAAATGATTCTTGATTTTTTTAAAGAAGTGATTTTGAAATTTCATTTATTTTAGTTTTAATAAAAAAAAGTTAATGGAAACAAATTTTTTCTGAGATTCTCAAAAGGCAACATCTGTAATCCTGTGTTGTGGGTTTTTTAATTATGATTGGGCTTTTCCAGGTTTAAAGGCTTTAACAAGTTAAACTTTGAGGAAGATCTGTGAATTGAGTATGTCAATCTTTATAAAGTTTATATTTGTACCGAAAGAGAAAAATATTCCCATCCTGCCCACTGGTTATTAACATAGGCTGAAAACAGCTCTAAACGTGGTGTATTTAGACGGTTATAAATGTCTTATCTTGGTGAAACTTCAGAGAACCTGTCAACTCATGCAAGGTGGCATTTGTTATCGAGATAGTAGGAATGTTTTCCTCTGTACATAAAAATGACTACCAACAGCTGAGCTGTTTATTTCAAGTTCCATAGATTTAAAGAGAACACATTACCATCACTTCATATCCACGTGGTGGTCACGATAAATGAACTTGATTTATCTACTGCATAGACTACATCCTTTAGTGCCAACCTGTGAACCTTTAAAGGCTACATTCACTTTTAGGTTCCCTGCGCCTAATTTAGGTGTTCTATTAGTGCACCAAAGATTTGTATTTGTACTTCAGATGATATTTATTCTCCAACAGCTGTGGGGCCATAAAATCTTTTAGATAATACAATTTGCATCTGAAAATTATTTAATAATTTAGAAAGTTTCATAAGTTTTTGTTTTAATCCCATAGATCTCTGATGCTCAGTACATTGTTTTTTATTTTAAAAATGTTTTATTTTCTCTCTATTCAAATTGAGTAATTTGTTCTGACTTCAAGTTCACTGATTCTTTTCTCTGTCTAATCCATTATACTGTTGAGCTCATCTTTTTTTTTAAATATTTCAATTATATTCTTTCTAAAATTTTTATTTAGTTCTTTGTATCTTTTATTTCTTTGCTGAGACTTTGTATTTTTTTCATTTGTTTTAAGAATGTTTGTAATTGCTCATTGAAGCATTTTTATAAAGGCTGCTATGAAATCTTTGTCAGATAATCCTGACATCTCTTGTCAGTTTTATGTTGGCATCTATTATCTTTTTTTCATTCAAAATGGTTGTCCTGTTTTTCAGTGTGATATTGATTTTCAATTGAAATCTGGATATTGACTATGGACTTTCTTTAAACCTTCTGTTTTAGCTGAGTTTCTCTAATACCCTCGCAGGGGAATTGGGGTCACTGCCTCATTATTTATAGGTGTGTTCCCTACTCAGTCTCCATTGATACTTGGGATGAGTGGGTACCCTTGTTGCTACTAGATATGGTAGGACTTCAGCTCCCTATTTGACCTCCATTGATGCCTCCGTGGTTGGGTTGTGCAGGGTGCCCTGAACTATCCCCATGTGATCTCTACTGACACTGTGGACTGGGTGGCAGGGGAAGGTTTATTGTCACCAGGTGGGAAGGAAATTACCAGTTCCCTACTCAGCCTTCTTTATCAATACCGCAGTAGGAGAGTTGGGGCACCTATTCGCAGCCTGGCAAGGATGGAAGGCTAGGCTCCCCATCTGAGTTTACTGACTTGAATGGGTCATGACTTTTTCTGTGGTGTTTGGCTGAAGTGGGAGCAGTTATTGTTTTTTCTCTTGCTAGGCTATTCTTCTGCTCCTTTGGCTAGAGAGAGAGCGTGGGCCATTTAGGGTGTCTTTTTATCTGTACTCAGCTTTCCCAGATTGCTGACTTTGTCACTTCCGTGTCTGGAATATATGAGCTAACAAGAAAACTCAGAAACTCATCACAGTGTTGTTCCTTGGATCCCAAATACTCTGTCTGTCTGCTCTCAATCTTTCAGAATCTTCCTGTTTTATATATAACTAGAGGCCTGGTGAAATTCATGTGCAGGTACAGTTCCTAGGCCTGGCCTGTGATCAGGGCCATCTTCCCTGCTTGCCAGCAGCTGCTGCCACCCACCCCGAGTTCCCCATTTGCATCTAGGGATCGGAACCTGCCAACCAGGGGGAGGGACTAAGAGGTCGTCAATGTGCCTCATAGCGACTGGCCAAGTGGTTGGTCTGGTTGTTCCACCATTCTGTTGATTTGCATATTACTCTTTTATATATATAGATAATGAAGCTTTTTGTCTATACTTAGTAGAAGGATATCTACTTCTTCATAGAAGTGTCTCATTGATCTATATATATTCTTCAAAATACATGCATGTAGGTACATGATTTCCTCTTAGCAGATCTTAATGAAATGGACAGATGTCTCTTACCTTTGCCAGATAGCAGGAGTCCAAAGAAAAGTTACAGTGCTTAGCATCTTGGAGAGATAGAAGAGGCAGCAGAAGTGTAAATGATCCCTAAGAAGTGGTAAATGTTATAATGGAGCCAGGGGAGAGCTGCCAGGGAGCACAAAGGAAGCACTAAGTGCTGCTTGGCAGTATCAGTGGGGTTTCCCATAGATGGTGATATTGGGGCTGGGACTGGAAGGATGAACTGAAGCTCTCCGGGTTTATGGATGAATAAAAGACATTGTAGCCTCCCTTGGATGGATATATTTTTGCCATTTTGCCATTTACTGCTACTGCTGGCATTTTTTACAAGTGTCACCATGACCAACTTATAATATACAGCTATTTTATTTTTTTTCTTTGTTATAATAATCTCCTGTTCTTAAAGGAAATGCCAGACTATAAATTCTGTGCTGACTCATTAAAGGAAACAGCATCCATATCTTTTTTACTTAGCTTCCCCACCTCCCCCAGATGCTCTTATATAGTATTCTTTTTTTTTTTTCCCTTGTCATGTCTTGAAAGAGATCCCTCCTTTCACTATTTCATCAATTTAAAGCATGTAACTAGTTACCACTTTCCCAATTTGAATGGTGAATTCATATGACCATATATGGAAACACTTCTACTTTCTCCAATAAAGGCTGTTTTTTGCTACTCAAATGCTAAGCATTTTATTCCTAATTTTACTGCCATGCCTCTGGTCAGTATTTCTTAAAGTGAGGGAAGTAACTTCCATATAAAATTGCATAGCTAGTCAACTTATACACAGCAGGCAACCAACCAGGTGGGACTTAGAAATATGTTCAAATATCAGAGGAAAGAGGGCAGATCCTAGGGGAAGGAGTGGAATGTTCAGGGTCCAGGGGGGTAAGTAGATATGTAGAGGGCTGTTAGACCAGTTGGCCTGGTCCTGTTTAAGGAGATAAGACAGACAGAGAAGGAGCTGAACCACCTTCTCCTAAAGGAGAGGCTCTTATCCCCTTGGACATTTTTCTCTCATTGGTTACAATAAGTGTCCTGCCCTGTCCTGTGAGTACATGCTTATCTATAATAGAAAATGGCATTTGGACTTTGAAACTAAATATGATTCCACTTCATGCTGAAGCCTGACACAGGAATTGGTGAGTGGGCACTTTCATGAGCATTAAGTAAAAAAATTTGGCTACAGTCTAAGAACATTCTCCCTGGATTTTTGGCCAGTCTATATTGTAAGGTAGAAAAAAATAATCTACAGACTATAAGAGTCTCTAAGCTAAGAAATGGGATGTACCAATAAAAGTTGTATATAAAGAAGCTTGGCTGCTTTCCTGTGTGGAGTGTATGTGTGTGTGTTTAAAGGGTGGGGCAGGACATATGGGGGGTGGTGCTTATCCAGGAACTGATACTGAGGGCAAGGGTTGTAGACAATAAACCACAGCTATATTGTTGGAAGGAGAGAGAAAAGATCCAAAGTTCATTTCGGGCACACAGAGTAAACATCCATTTCTGATCTGTGACCTATATTCTTGTTTTGGGTATTTTAATTACATTTACTCATACTTCCAGGTAAAAGCAAGAAACAGGCATATATAAATATCCTTCCAGTATTTAGAATGGTCTGAAACCAGAGGGAAAATTTCCAACTTGTAACTTCCATAGATTTTTTTTTTTCAACATAAAATTTTTGCATCTATTCTCTCCATTGTACATAAATAGTGATTGGAGAAAAGAAAAATAAAGATGTTTACTAGAAATCATATACATACCAGAAACCATAGATGCATAAAGTATATTTTAGCCTATTAGAAATTAAAAAAAAAATTTAAAAGTCTCTGGAATAGGTTGTGTAGCTAAGGGATGCCAAAAGGAAACAACAACATAAAAAAAGTCCCGTCCATCAAAGACTATTTTATTTTCTTTTAAATACATTTTTATTGCTTTCAGAGAGGAAGGGAAAGGAAGATAGAAATATCAATGATGAGAGTCATCGATCGGCTGCCTCCTGCACACCCACCCTCAGGAACCTAGCCCACAACCTAGGCATGTGCCTTTGACTGGAAGTGAACCTGGGACCTTTCAGTCCACAAGCCGATGCTCTATCCACTGAGCCAAACCAGCTAGGGCCACCAGAAGCTATTTTAAATTTAAGATCAACTTGCCCATTGTGGATGAAAAGCGGGTATATATAACTTTGATGACTAAAAATAATCTTCAGGATAATCTGATCATAACCTTGTATTGGGCAGGTAATGGTGGGTAGTCACTTTTTTATAGTAAAAGTTTTTTAAGCTGTTCATTTTCCTGTGCTTATGGGTTAACACCCTTAAAAATGCCAGAAGCAGTCCTCTTTTTCAGACCCCTTGAAGGTGTAACCACCCTCAAAAGAGGACATAATCTTGTTAGCTTCTTTAGTGAAACATTTTAAACTAGCCCTCTCCATTGTTCTTATGCATCCAAATTAATGTGTTAATTCGGATGCATAAGATTGTACTGTTCAAAGAGCTGTTCCTAAAGGGTTAACAAAAATTCTTATTGGCAGAGCGTCCCACGGTAAAATTGCACAACATGTTATGAACCTAAAGTAGTCATACTGTAGTGCAAATAAGTTAAAATGTAAAAGCTATCAAGACTATAGTATAAAATTTCCAAAAGTTTCCTATTATTTAAAGTAAAAAAGGGGGTGACAGTGGAAGAATATCATGTAAGGAAAAATATCCTGAGAATAATTTACATCTAAAAAATTTGTGCTTTAGAAAATTAACCTTCATTCGAAACGCTAATAGCAAGATACCCATGAAAATACACACATGGTGACAAAACAAGCCAGGGGAAAATCATTTGGGGAGGAGGAGGAATGGAAAAGAATCCCAAATCAAATTAAAAAAAAATATCCCTTTATTAACTTTTGGTCGAGAATATGTTTGTATATTTTCAGAAAACAACTCTGAGACTATCTGGAATTCTGTAACAGAGATGAATAGACAGAAGCACTCCAGCCATGAAGATAGAAGAGACACAATCCAGAGATGGAAGATGCTGATGATGCCTCAGCATACCAGCAGACAGCAGCTGCGGGTTGCTGAAGGATGCCGGGACCAAACCAGAGACAGGCGGACCTGCATTGCTACCATTTGTCCACCAACCAGATCTGAAATATCATGTCTGGCATGTACACATAAGGAACTATCTGGCATTGAAATTGGGACGCATAAGAACTGTTGGCCCAGAAAAGAACTCACTACAGACTGATTCATCTGCCTCTCAGCATAACCATTATGGCTCATTGCAGTTTAGGTTCTTACAAGGGTATTTCTTGAATCACATGATCTCACACTTCTAGAGGAAATAATGAACAACATAAACTGAGCCAGAGAAAGAGAAGCAGCAATCAAACCTCAGAGGGAAAGTAAGGGTGGATGGGAGTAAGGGGGAGAGATCAACCAAAGGATTTGTGTGCATACATATGGGCCTAGCCAGTGGCCATGGACAATGGGGGTGGTGGTGGGGGGGGGCATATCTAGGGAGGGGTTTGGGATGGGAATGGGGGAATAAGGACAATTATGTGAGACCATAATCAATAAAATAAAAGAAAATTTAAAGAAAATTAAAAAAAAAAAGAAAAAAGAATAATGGAGAGGGCTAGTTTAAAATGTTTCCCTTGAAATACTCTTCAAAGGGAGTGTTAATCCTCCAGAGAGCACTTAATCTTGTTAATTTGTAATCTGATCCCACATTTCTTCCTCCCACCTTCATATAACCTTCTGCTCCTTCTTCCTTCAATTTCAAGTGCATATAAGAAGTGCAAATGTGTTATTCTCCTGATCATTTGAGACCTTGCTCCCCAGCCTATGTCGCCAATTTGGGCTCAAATAAAATCTTATAAAATTCTCTACAAGTTTGGGTATTTCTTACATCAACAGTACCCAGACCCTTGATGCCAGATCCAAATACAGTGCTTACTACAGGCAGTCTGAAACCAAATAAAGAAAGAAAATAATTTCAGGATGGTGTGGTTATAGGTATAAAAGGATTTTTTACAGAGAGGATGGGAGAAGGATAGAAAGCTAGAAACATTGATGAGAGAGAAACATTGACCAGCTGCCTCCTGCATACCCCCTATCGGAGATGTGCCCGCAACCAATGTATATTCCCTTGACCAGAATCGAACTTGGGACCTTTCAGTCCGCAGACCGACACTCTATCCACTGAGCCAAACCAGTTTTGGCCATCACTGTAACTTTGATGAGATGTGAAGACAGACTGTTTCACAGGGACTACAATTCAATACTGTGGGATATTTCCCCCCAGTGGCGGTAACTCTCATTTGGCATTTAGAATACGTTTCTCAAATCTGTAGATTCCTTTTCATGTGTTTATTGCCTTGTCTCCAAAGTCATCTGTCATTGATAAGAGGAATCATCTTTCTATCCCTATTTCTAGCACAATGCCAGTCAGAGAGTAGTTGGTCAATTAAAAACCACTGTTGACATGAGTAAAAATCAATGACATGATCTTACCAAAACATCCATCTAAAACAGCTAAGGAATCACAGGTGACAGGAAGGCAACTAGAGCAATCACACAGAAACTAATGCTTCTTTACATCGCTAGTTTTTAAGTGCCAGATGGGGATGCAAATGGGATATGTTTAAAAAGAAGCTCGTTTACAGATATCTTCCTAGAGCACCAGGCAGAATTTTAAAAAATAATACATAGAGAGCAAGTAGTGCCGTTCAAGGGCCATTCACAGTTGTGGCACTGCCTGCATCCTGTGGAAAGTATGCTGCCTACTGAACCGAACGGGAAAGAATGACCTATTCAGAGTTTTGACTTCTCAAATGAAAATCTCTTCACAAAGCACACAGTGTTTCCCAGCAACAAGCTGCTGCTGTAAACCTTCGCTGGCAAGGATGGAGACGCACAGGAGCATCTTAGTTCTCACGTTCATCAGCTCCAGATAGCCTTCTGCTGTGGGGAAAGGCATGCCAGCCCGGAAAGGTATAAGCAGGTGAAACAAACACATTTCAGGCAACGTGGCTTTACCAAAGAGGAGAGAGATTTTCCCACCCCTTCCTCCTCCCTCTGAAACCCAGGGCAATGGAATCTAGCATTGGTGGAGATATATTGAACAAGTAGTACTAGAGGTGAGTGAAATCATTCCGTCCACCAGATGTCTGATGACGGTTGACTGTGAAAAAGCTCAAATGTTCATGTTCCTCTCAGTAATATTACTGTGATAACAGAGATATGCACAATATAGGAATTGAAAACAATGGCTTCTGACATAGCATATGATCATTTATCCATTTGGTGAAAAGAAAAATAGAATCCTCTTTTCCTC